AGGGGGAAGTCCCCCACATGCACAGACACAACCCACCTACACCCTACACTATACCCACATATACACCCCCTCAATACTGTCCCTCCACACACGCAACACCCCTCCCCCACCACACCCCCTGCACATTCACCCCCACCCCCAGTCACATACACTCCACATCCACCCACCTACCACTACACACAATATACAAGCAAATCCCCCCTCCCAAAAGGAGTACTTCCTGGGCAAGTGGAGAGACTTCCGGTGGCAAAGGGGGGTGGGACTTCTGGTCCCAAGATGGTGACTAGTGGGGTGGGGCACCTGTCAAGAGTTGGGGCTACCCTTGCAGCCCTCAACACCTCACCACAATTCATTAAGTGGCCCTCCAGCAGAAAGAAATTGCCCACCCCCACTATACCTACAGGACTGGCATCATATCCTAGATAAAATAAACCATCTAAAATACAACTCAAAAAATTTCCCCACACAGCTTCATTAAGATAATCTGACTAATAAAGATCACTTCTGTTTTAGGATTTATATAAAAACCTGACATCTAAATCAAGGCCCCAGGAACCCCTTCCAGAAAGTGAAAGAAATAAGATTCTAGCAGCAGCAGAACTCCAAACCTCCTTTCAATAATACTTTCAAATCTATCTCAAAGGCTCATCTGCAGCAGCTGGCACAAGCTAATCTTACCGTGCACTCTGAAGATTAACATAATACTTTGAGTAAGTCTATAGTGCAGCCTGCAACATACCCAAGAGATATCTGGACTTGCTTTAAACGAGCCAGATTGGTCCCCAAAGAAGTCTAGTAATAGCAGTATACAGAAACTGGGGAAAATAAACTCTGTTGTGCTCTAGGCAGCATCTATTAGGCTTCTGGCACCCAACCTAGTTAATTTAAACTTGGGTCATATCCTGGAAATAAATGTAAACATGGCAGCACAGTACTCAAGACAAAAAAACAACCCACACAGAGCTCCATGCTCTTGGGGCAAAATTGCTTCTAGTACCCAAGCTAATTCAAGTAAGTTATACTACACAGATGTTTGCAATGCAGACAAATGCCCAGCCTATTTCAGGCTTCATGCCCTTTTTCGTGTCCTTGTGACAAGGTATTTAGCGGAATTTGCAGATTTGTTAGAGCCTGACAGGGCCATGCTATGAGCACTTCTGCTATGGCCTAGACTACATGTTACCCCGACTAATAATTAATTATAAGACCTTTTGCAGAGCCAGATGCCAAGGTTGTTTTATAAAGAATGAGAAAAAAATAAATGCTTGACATTTTACAGATGTGGAAACAAGAGCATAGATGTATGAAACAACTGCCCCAGGATAAGAGAAATGTCATGGCATTCCCAAAAAAGTTGGGATTAGAAACTAGATCTTTCACTACCTAATGTCAGAGTCAAGTTATTACCTAGATCCTTAGATGGCACCTCCAAACACAGAATATCCTTATCAGAATATTAAGACATTTCTGGTGTTGCTTGGAAGTATGCTGTGGTTTTGGCTTTTCCCAAAAAAGACAATGTTTAGGTATGTATTAAACTTGGAACAGTTTCTCCAGCTCCCCAATGCCATGCTAACACTACGATGTTCATGGTGACCAGTCTCAAAAACAGGAATCTTGCCATATTTCTTTAGATTAGCAATTCTCAACCAGGGTGCTGTAACATCTTGGGATGTCTTGAGATCCCTCAAGGATGCTGGAGGATGCCACACACTATTAGATGTGCAAAAATTATAAATCCAGGGTTTTCAATGGGAACTGATAGCGTTAAAAGCATTCTGACCTATCGTGATCAGAGTTCTTTGTAACACAAGAATTGCTCTTTAAATGTATTTATTTACTTTTTAGCGGAAAAACCACCACAACAACAAAAGATACCATGCAAGTGAAAACTAAGAGCTGGCATTTTCCGAGAGGTGCTTAGAATTTAACCTTGAGTATAATATGGTTGAGAACTGCTGCTTTAGCTTAAGTAGCCCATAAACACGTCTGCAGAGTCTTACAGAACATGTAGCCCATCTGTTTCTGCCTTTACATTGTAATCTTTGTGGCAGGGCCAAGGGCAATATGCTTCTGCTTGGTCATGTAAATCCATGGCTCTCCATAAATAATAAAAATGAAACCAGTAGGTACTTTAACTGCTTTAACCTCACCCCTCCACTCCCTTGGATTTTGGTTTTGTTGTTTTGTTTTTTTTAAAGGATTATATCAAGATGGCCCATAGAATCATACAGATGCAAGAGATCCTTATATTCCAGTTCAACTAACCACAGTCCCTCACTTATTTTTGACCAAACCTTTTCAGATTAGTTTTGGCAAGAGTAGCCCTTCTGTAACACTTGAATTATTTGTACCTTGACTGGAACACAAGAGAATTTTGACATTTTAACGCTCCCGGAAATATACTTAAGGGGAGTATTTACCTTGTTTTATCAAGAAGGATGTTTATTAGTTCTAGCAATCCACTTGCTTTAAAAAAAAAAATTCTAAATCAGCTAACTACAATTTTGAACAAAGCAAACAGCATGTCAATGCATTTTGAAGCTGAGAGACAACAAAAATCTTGCCTTCATTTCCCAGTTCCTCTGTACTGTTAGCTCCACTACATAGAATAAAAGTTGCTTGGGAAAATTACTACTTCCCCTTCCCCTGCCATTTCTCAGCATGGGAATGCTGGTACACGAGACAGAGGCTGCTTGAATGCGCCAATTAGCATACACTGGTAGATTTGATTAATTGCATCTAATCCAACATGCTGCAGTTACAGTGCTTCAGAACAGCCTCCCTCCATGGGCTCCAGGCACCCCAAGTGTCTAAACATACAAGCCAGTTAACAGCAATTTAAAAATCACCGGAAACATTTCAAAAGTATGCCTGGATAATCAAGTATTACTGATTCTCTAAGAACTGACTGTGTGCAAAAAGCTTTCCGCAATTAGTGTCTAGCTGGTCCTCCAGACACCCCATGCTGCAATGCTCCTGCTTCTCCACCCCCACCCAGCAACTGACTGCTCTAGTACACAGCAAAAAATCGAGTGGCCCAAACTATTGCTTGCACTTGACTGCAGTGTCCCTGGCTAGAAACTGTGGAGGCAGCTCTCTGCCAGTTCTAATGAGCTGGTCAATTTCCTTCCATTGGTAGCAACTAACCAGGTTTTCATGCATCACAGGCTTATTTGAGGTGGGAAGTGGTCAACTTGGAGGGTTGCCTGGACCCCTGGTTCTGCGAGCCTATGGGCCAGGGGCCCCAGCAGAGGGTACTTAAGAACTCCACTGCCACCAATAGAATGAAGTTAGCCAACTATTTAAAAACTGAGCTGTCCTGAGTCTCCAGACACACAGTCCAGGCAGCCACCTTCCCCAAATCTGGCCACCCCATCACTCCCAAATCAGCCTGGGATGTACAAAAACAAAATCGATTTCCAGAAACTTCAGCAAAACTGATGATCAGCTTGAGGGGAAAGTGCTCTTAAAAGCCACAAAAATTCTGGCAGCTTCAGAATATGGAGCCCATCAGCAACTAAGAAGCAGGGGTTCAAGCAGCACCATAATCCTATACATGCACCTCTGGATGGTACCCTAACTGAGGCTACCACAAATTTCTTTAAAAAAAAGCTAGAAAGCATCTGTCTTCAACTCAGTGTTTGTGAGAAAGAGGAGTAGGCTATTGCAATTGGGTTGCATACTCACTACCACCTCTTGTTGGCAGTCTGACTTGACCCTTCCACTTGGAACTGTTACTTCTGTTTTATGCATACACCTCCGATGCAGGACTATTTTGAACTTGTTTCCAAAATCAGTGGCACTCTTGGAACAATTCAAGTATTAGGTCTGTCCACGCTATAAATATTTAGGGAAGTTTATTTATTATCTCCAAACATGCCAGTGGGAGTAGTTATATACAGGCCGATACAGTTTTTCTTAGTGAAATACATTTCACCTACCTTATCTTTCTTATCTTGTCTGGCATATGGAAAACATGGAATAACTGCAGTCACTCTGGATGACGATGCAATCTTGCAAGCATTTATCATGATGAGGAGCTCCATCAAGTTGTCATTTATTTCTCCACAGCCACTCTGAATGATATACACATCTTCCCCTCTTACACTTTCACCAATCTCTACACTGAGAAAAATAAGATTTGGCTAGTGAATCATTTAAATTGCTATAACAAGAGAAATAATTATAGAATTAATATAATTCTGAGTTTGCAAGACAGATTTTTTTTTAAAAAGCTAATAGATCTCCATGGTTTTATCACTTGAAACATGCATTTTATGGTGAATTAATTAATTCATAGTTAGCTTATGATGAAATGTCAAATGGGCAGTTTATCTAAATTTCACTTCTCCACCTGCATCAAGAAAAGGTCTGTGCCAACTTATACATAATAAGTATTGCTATCAAAGTAAGACATAGTTCAGACCGTTGTTCAATTTAACACAGATATTTTTTAATATCATGCCCCTAATGATCCTGCCCTCCTTTGGGGATCATGAAGTCACTCAAAACCACGTAAAAAACTACAACATTAAAATAATTTTAGCTGCCTACACCATTCATTTCTTTGGTTATGACATCTGTATTTAAGTAGCTTTATAACATTTTAATTTATTTCCCCACTGTGGCCTAACACACTATTCTCAATTGCTGCTGACCGAGTGAGGCAACAATCTGGCTAAAATTCAAAGCTTTAAAATACAAGTATAATAGTTTTATCATTGCTCATCAAGTCTCAAAACATTCTTAAATGGCCAAGTTTTTTTCCTTTGTTTGAAAGTTTGTAAGAATTTCTTTATTTCCCCTCTTCCTCCTTTTTACATTGCTGTTTTGCTACAAGTCACTGCACTGTATTGCAAAACTCCAGCCTCAGAACCCCCATTTCCACTACCCACCCACCCGATTCCAAAGCTAAATCCAATTTAAATGGATAAATGAAAAACAGCAAACCAGATAAGCATACAGTGCTACAGCACTCTCATTCCTAATTGGTCCAAAGAGCAATAAAGTCAATGAATGAACCATCCCAAATCTTACAAGTTACCCACAAGGCACAGTTCACACGACAGAATTCTTAACTTTAAAAAAAGCAAAAAGAAAATGTTAGTGCTATCATACTGGATCCAAGCTGGTCATCATCAGGGCTGAAAGCACTGCACACACCACAGAGACTTCAAGCACTTGAACTTAATAGTAGTAATAGGTTGTCATCCTCCTTGCAGATTAGCATTAGAGGAAGAACAGACATTTTTGCCAGTGAGTTTCACAGCCAGGCTGATAGCAAAATAATGGTGAGGTTCTGGGATGTTGTGTTCCATTCCCTGCACTCAAAGAAAGAATCCTTTACTGGAATCGCTACTCCCTCCAAGCTTGACCCCTTTTGCCTCAGCCCAACTCTCCCTGCCCCATCTCCTTTGCACCCCAGTGTATCACCCCAAACCTGTTCACCCTGCCTACATAGTACCCAGAGTCAGGCATCTCTGACTTCTCAAACCAGTCCTAGTCTCCCACTCTGAGTATGCTACTTCAGTCCCAATCTACATTTTCTATTCCTAGTCTCTCCTGTACTCCATGGACTCAGTTCTTCTCCCCTACCCTTTCAACATTCCTTGTCTCACTGATCTTTTCCCACCACATTCAAATAGGGCTGCTTCCTCTGTGTTTATAGCAGTCATCTAGCACAACACCCACCCCTGATACTAGATGTCTTAAACATCCCAGTCTATTGCCCAGACACAATCAGAAAAATCATGGATAAGACATTTACAGACATTTAGGGAGGTTGGAGGAGGGTAGATCAAGTTAAAAATGGCCACCCAATCGAAGGTTTATTGGGATGTAGGGGGCTTCGGGGAGGAGGCAGGGTCTGCACAGGGGCTGGCAGGATCAGGGAGGCTTGCAGGGGGGTTGGGAGGCTCTCCCCCACACCTCCCAGGAACAGACCTGCCCCATCCCCAGATGAACACCCCCCTCCCACCAGCAAACCAACCCTCCCATCCCTCCCCTACCCCGACTTACTCCTTGGTTCCCAATATCAGTGAATGCTGGTAAACCTGAAGTGACCTGTTGGATTCGGGGGGGG